GACGCCGAGGCGAAGCTTGATAAGAGGTATAACGATTTGAAGAGAAACCCCGACATTCCGAGGAGTGTTTTAGGATCGATGCAATTGCAATCTAAGGAAGTGTCTTTGCCTGACAGGCTTGAAGCCCGGCTTGAACAAGCCGGTGTCATTGGGTTTGTGGAAGGGTTTTGGAATGAATGGCAGCTCGAGACGGGAAGAGTGAAGCTTGTCGCGACTCTCAGCAGCTTGAGTTCTGGCCTGGGAAATATTGATGAGGCCATGATTAAACAGGCTCGCAAGACGGCAAAGGACGTGGGGTTATATTGCGAAGAGTTCGTTAACATCTTTCCGATGCTGGAACGAAAGTATACAGCAGGGGCGGGAGCGTCGAACGAAGTGTTTGTGCTCTATAAGCCCATGATAGAAGCGGCAATCTTCGCGGGGCAAGGACCTCTGCTTTCAGAGGCGATCATGACCCTGTACGCCTCTCATGGTGGAAACCGTGGGCCACTACTGCCATCACGTCCAGAAAAGGATAGTGTGGATTTGGTACCAGTGAAAAGTAGCGTGGTGAGCAGTGACATTCAGATACGTGACCAAACCCAGCCACTTACACTGCGGCTCCGCGCCTTGGTGGACTTCGTCGCCAGCAAATCTGAAAGCGCAACGGCTTTGCCGCCTGTGCCAGCGGACAAAAATATTTTAAGGGAGGTGGAAATTATCCGGCAGAGCTGGGAAGAACCAAACGTCGACATAAATGGACAGCTTCAAGGCAGCGGTAAGCCAAACCGACAACGGATATGCAATAATCCAACCGAAATTCGCGATACTCTAACCATTCATGGTAAAAAAGTCAAGATTGTCAGGATTAAGCCTCGTGGGAAGAATTACGAATTTGAGGTAGTCGACCACAACAATGAGAGACGAATGGACCTCACCTCACTTAGTAAGATTCTCATGGAAGGTACTCCATCAGATGTTAAAGATAACGCCGACGTTATCTATGCTATTTTTGTGAGGGCTTTGGTTTCGGTCCACCCCAAAGTCCAGCTGAAAAAGAATGACAAAAAGAGTGAGGACCTACCCAAAATGATCAGATTCCAACACATCAAAGAACGGGTTGAAAAAGCTTCGCCGGAGATGTGGCTCGTGCAATATAGGGATGGAGGCCAGGAGGAGGTATCACGTGGTACAATATCGGGCTGGGGTTTGGATGCGCGTGAACAGATGAAGGCTAGAAGATAGAATCTTCTACGGCGAAAGCCGCGATGCTGAATATTACTACATTATATGTAGTTATTACGGTAACTACCCAGTTACCTGGTATGAATATTATTATTGTTGTTCATCAATGACATCCCAGTCAAGTAAATACAATTCACAGTTTAATGTTATATTACTTCGGGAAAATGTTGAAGTTCATGAGGTGCGAGTATACAAGGCCAGGGGGCAGGCCATTGCGCAGCCAACTTTGCTCGCTAGGATCTGCCAGCGGAATGTTGTCCTGAC